AGATGGTTAAGTTCTGCTCTCATCTTAAAGGAAACAGAGAATGCTCCATGGTGGACTAATCCATATCTCCCCAGTGTTGACATTTTCGGATTTCTTATCCCTTAATTTCTCATGCTGAGAGCATTTCCAGAAGTTGTCTTCCACCGGGTCATGAGTTAAAGGAGTAGTCACCGAGGGGCCTGTGATAATGCGACTGCTCGTGGCGATCATTGAGCTGCAGTCTGTTTGTTAGCTTGGGTTGGGGGGGCCAGAGCTGATGGTGCAGAGCCGAGTCCTGGCTCTGTGCTCAGGGATCATCCTGGCAGTGCTTGGGGGACCATATGTGATGCTGAGTATCTGGCCAGAGTCAGCTGCATGCAAGGCCAGTGCTTATCTCCCTGTGCTCCTTCTCCTGCCAGTGCAGCGGGGGCTGCTGAGTCAGGAAACAGTTGGAGATTCTAAGCTGTGATACAGGTCTGCACACCATTTACGTGGAGGTCACTTTTGCATGCAGCTTTTCGTTGGATGAGACCTTATTTAATAAATTAACGAAGACTTAGATCTAATTTAGCCATAATGGAGCACTTAAAAAAAAAAACTGTTGTTTTTGGTTTTAGAGCCATCCCTGATGGTGCTCAGGAGTTATTCCGGGCTCTGTGCTTGGGAGTGGCTGCTGGTGATAGATCGATCGTGGGCTTCCTGCATGCAGAGCATGTGAGAGCATGTGCTTAGCCCATAGCTCTCTCTGGTCCTGGAAACGCTTTTAGACTGTTAGCGTGCTCGGGTCTCCTTGATGCTCGGGGTCATTCCTGGCAATCTGGACTGGGTGGTGCTGGGGGTTGAACCCTAGCCTCTTGCACGTAGTGCATTTTGAGCTGTCTCCCTGACAACAGAAACACTCTTATGGCGTCATCTGCTATTAAAACACTTGCACGTGGCTGACCCAGGTCATCTGTTACTAAAACACTCTTATGGGGTCATCTGCTATGATGCTGCTTTCCGGGGCACCTACAATGATTCAGGGTGGGAGGTAGTAGCCTTGCGTGCAGTTGGCAGGGTGGGGGTGTGTGCCTTTTGTTCGTTCACTTAAAGAAGGCAGAATTTCAGGAAGCTCTGATTTTTTTCTTTTTTCTGGAAAGAGGGCAGAGTGGCCACTGGAAATCTCTGAATTCTAGAAAAATGCCCCCAGGAATTTCTGTGACTGCACCCTTTGCTGCTCCTTGCTCGATGGAAGGTCACTGCCATTAGAATTTTCAGGCGCCAGCCTGAGTGACCAGTCTAATGCAGTAAAAGAATTCCAGCTTCAAGTAATGGTGAACTTGGAGTGGGGCCCAGTGTGAAGGAAGCATCTGATGGAGAGCCTTGCCCATGTCGGTGAAGAGGCTGGCAGGAGGAGTATATGCCAAGCCAAGAAGAAAAGGGTTGCAGAGGTTGATGTCATTGTCTGCAAGATTTTTTTAGTCCCGTAATGAATTTAGCCATTTCACTAAGGAGTAAGTGTTTTTTGGTAGATAACAATGCTGGACAGGGCAAAATTTGGGGTGTATTTTCCATTTACTTTAGTTAGATGAATTTTTTAAGATCCTCTAATAAGGTTCCATTTTTGGGGGGGGAGGGGAGGGAACACCTAGGAATGCTCAGGAGTTTCTCCAGGCTCTACACACAGGAATTACTCCAGGTGGTGCTTGGGAGACCATGTGGGATGACAGGGATCAAACACAGGTCTGCCGCATGCAAGGCAAACACCTGATCCATTCTACTATTGCTCTGGTCCCAGGTTCCATAAAACATTTGTAATCTCCAGTAGATTAAAAGACTGTTTAGCCTCTTATTTAGGAACTGGGGAAATAGCAAAGACGTTTTTATGGGGTGTAGGAAGGATACGGCATTTAGGATGATAGATTCAAAGTGATGCCATACGTGTCTGGTGAGTGCGTCTGGTGAGTCCAGACGAGAAAGGGGCACGTGGGACCTAGGATCCGTTTCAGAGCCTCACAGACAGCAAGGTTGTACTCTGCTGCTTGATCCCACCCCCCATCCCTATTGTTTTTGGTGTTTTTGTTTTTAAAGTGAGGGGGGCTTTGCTTTTTAGGTTCTGAATTGTGAGCATTTTATTCTCTTAGATCACATGGATGGGCTGGAGCGATAGCACCGCGGGGAGGGCGTTTGCCTTGCATGCGGCCAACCTGGCCAGCCTGAGTTTGATTCTTCCACCTTTGATTCCTCTGCCCCTCTCGGAGAGCCCAGCAAGCTACCGAGAGTATCTCACCCATGCGGCAAAGCCTGGCAAGCTCTCCATGTTGTATTTGCTCGAGCGGGCCCAGTAACGTCTCCATTGGAGACCTTGTTGTTACTGTGTCTGGCATATCGAATACTCTCGGTAGCTTGCCGGGCTCTCCGAGAGGGGCGGAGGAATCGAACTCGGGTCGCTGGAGCGATAGCACAGCGGGTAGGGCGTCTGCCTTGCACGCAGCCAACATGGCCGACCCGAGTTCGATTCCTCCGCCCCTCTCGGAGAGCACAGCAAGCTACCGAGAGTATTCGATATGCCAGACACAGTAACAACAAAGTCTCCAATGGAGACGTTACTGGGCCTGCTCGAGCAAATGTTGTATTTGATATGCCAAAAACAGTAGCAATAAGTCTCACAATGTTACTGGGCCCGCTCGAGCTAATCGATGAACAACAGGAGGACAGTGACAGTGACAGATCATATGGACAGCCAAACCCTTAGCAGATAGGCGGCTCACACGTATTTCCCCATTCTCTTCCTTGGCTTCTCATTTGTTCTTGTGTCGGGGGCTCCTGAGTGGTTCTCGGGGCTCAGTGATTCTTCGTCAACTGGGGTGGGGGGTGTCAAAACGAGGACACCAGGGTGTCTGCGGGGCTGCTCAGGTCCTTTGGTGCTGGGGTTGACCCAGGCCACACCTCTGGTGCCCAGTGGCCCAGCAGTGCTTGGGAGATCATATAGTGCCAGGGGTCAGCCACATGCCCCTTTATCCCTGTGCTATTTCTCCAGCCCCTTTTCACATTTGCTGTGGGGGCAGAGGGGTCGGGCCACACCCGACAGTACTCAGGGCTTACTCCTGACTCTGCACTCAGAGATCACTCCTGGTGGGGCTTGGGGATCCTGTTGGAGTCCTGGGGATCAAATGCAGGTCAGCCATATGCAAGGCAAGCACCCTACCATTGCACTAACCAGCCCCCCTTTCACATTCTTTTTTTTTGCTTTTTTTTTGGGTCACACCCGGCAATGCTCAGGGGTTACTCCTGACTCTGCACTCAGGAATTACTCCTGGCAGTACTCAGGGGACCATATGGGATGCTGGGAATCGAACCCGGGTTGGCCGCGTGCAAAGCAAAAGCCCTCCCCACTGTGCTATTGCTCCAGCCCCTCTTTTCACATTCTTGATGGTAGCCGTTGATGCACAAGTTTCTGGTTTGGATGAAGTTTTTAATTGATCTAACTGTGTTTTTCTTGTCCTCTACTGTGTCTAGGAATCCATTGCTAAGTTTTGAATCACAGATTTTTCCCTTTTGTTTCCCTAAGAGATTTATGATTTCATTCTTAGGTCATTGATTCATTTTGAACTAATTTTGATGAATAATATGAGGTAAAATTCTAACTTCCTTTCTTTGCATTTTCATTTGAGAAGGAGCAAACATTAAATTGATTTGGCATTCTGGTTGAAATTCATTTGTTTGGGGCTGGAGAGAAATTGCATTGGGTAAGATACTTGCCTTGTATTTAGCTGACCTGGGTTCAATCCTCAGCATCCTATAAGGTCCCCGGAGCCTTGCCAGGCATGATCCCTGAGCACAGAGCCAGGAGTAACCTCTGAGCTCCACTGGATATGTCCCCAAAACCAAAAAAGAAAAAGAAAGACTGATAAAAAGAAATCATTTGTTTGTATATACATGGGCTGGAGTGATAGCATAGCGGTAGGGTGTTTGCCTTGCGCACAGCCAGTCCGGCTGAACCAGGTTCGATTCCTCCGCCCCTCTCGGAGAGCCCGGCAAGCTACCGAGAGTATCTCGCCCGCGCAGCAAAGCCTGGCAAGCTCCCCGTGACGTATTCAATATGCCAAACACAGTAACAGCAAGTCTCAAAAATGGAGATGTTACTGGGCCCCCTCGAACAAATCGATGAACAATAGGAGGACAGTGACAGTATATACATATGGATCTATTTCTCTACTCTCAATCCCTTTATTAAAATTCTCAGTTCTATCCTTACCACTTGATTTTGGTGGGTATGGGGGTATTTGGGCCACACCTGGTGGTGCTCAAGGAATCTGTGCAGTGCTGGCGATCAAACTGGGCTCCACCACATGAAGCCTCATCCCTGGACTCTCTCCAGCCCAATTTCTACTGTTTTGTTTTTTGTTTGCGGGCCATAGCCAGCAGTGCTCAGGGCTTACTTCTGGCTCTCTGTGTTCAGGGATTACTTTTGGTGGTGTCAGAGGGAACTGTTTGTGGTGCAGGTGATCTAGTCTGATGTGCTGTGTGTAAGGCAAGTACCTACTGCACTATCTTTGTGGCCCACTCCTAGTATTTATTACTATTATTTAAAAAATTGGGGGGGGCACACCTGGCTGTGTACAGGGTTTATTCCTGGCTCTGTACTCAGGAATCACTCCTGGAAGTGCTTGAGGACCATATGGGATGCTGGAGATTAAACCCAGGCCAGGCAAATGCCCCACACACTATACTACCGCCACTGCTTTTTTTTTTTTCCCTTTATTTTATTTTATTTTTTTTAAAGTTGTAGATTTACAATTTTTTGTGCTTTGGTTCCAATTATACAATGATCAGATACCCATCCCTCCACCAGTGCCCATTTTCCACCACCATGGATAATATCCCTCCCACCCCCATCCCCCCATCCCCCCTGTCTCTGTGGCAGGGCAATCCCCTGTGTTTTCTCTCTCTCCTTTTGGGTGTTGTGGTCTGCAAAAGAGGCATTGAGCGCCACTGCTTTTAAGCAACTGAGTTTCTTGCTTTTCTCTCTTTGGTAACAGGATGATGGGGTTGATAGCACAATTTTCCAGAATCCCCAGAAGCTTCATCTAACTATCGGGATGTTGGTGCTCCTGAGTGAGCAGGAGGTCCAGCAGACGTGTGAGATGCTCCAGCAGTGTAAAGAGGAGTTCATTGAGTGAGTATGCAGAGCGCGGGAGGGCAAGCCCCGTCCTGGCTTTTAGTTTTATTTATTTTTTGTTTCACAGACTTGATTATGGACTAGAAAGCTGAGTGACTTGGGAACAGGACTTTTATTTATTTATTTATTTATTTATTAGATCTGAAATAATTTTTGTTGAATCGCCATGAATATGTAGTTACAAAGTTGTTCATGACTGGATAGGAATGGGACTTTTAAAAGAAAATTTATTTTTCATTTAACTTTTTAAAAATTCATCCCCTCCCCTTCCCTTCCCTGCGTTGTGGCTGACCACATTGCTGAGCATAACTGCTTGCACGCACCTCTGAGTACAGAGTCAGGAGAGTATGGGTTGGCCTGGTGCCAGCTCTTTTGCCCTGCTGTATGATATAAGCTTGGCCGCTTGAAACGACATGAATTTGTCATCTTCTGGTTCGGCAGGGCAGGAGCCCAGTGAGAGCCTCTTTTGGTTCAGATTGGGCTGCTCTGCAGGGTGGCACTCATTTCTGCGGGCTCCCGGGATGGTCTGTTTCCTTCCACATTTTTCCGTGGTTCCTCTCCCGATCCCTTTTGTCACACGTCTGTCTTAGACAGGCCAGAGCAGGATCAGGCTGTTGGTCTTACAGATACACACATGGACATCTGTTGCCCCGCAGGAGGGGCTGGGAGGTGCTTCCCCTGCGCTTGCCCAGCTAGTGCACACATGACGGTTCAGCCTCAGGCCTGGCGACTCAGTGCTGCCCAGGGTCAGGAGGGTTAAGCTCTGTGGGGCTGTCATGAAGTGCAGGGGATCAAACTCAGGATTTTTTTTTTTGCACACTTGGCATGTGCTTTGCCATCTGAGCTATCTTCCTGACACAGGTGTCTGGTTTTAAAGGCTCTGCTATGATTCCTGATTTAGCACTAGGGATGTCATTCACTGATAGAATACTTGCCTTTAGTGTGTGAGGCCCGGAGTGCCATCCCTGGCATTGCAAAAAGATGAACAAACATCAGGACTATGGTCCCGGGATGTGGCTCAGTGGTGGAGGGTAGGCTATGCATGTATGAGGCCTGGGCTTGATCCTTCTTGCTGCATAAATGGATTGGTAGATAAGGATTTCTGCACCAACATAAATACTCTAGGATAATCTACTTATTTCAAGCTCATCAATCCAATGACATCTGCAAAGCTCCGGGCCATACAAGATAGTGTATAGCATTGTAGCACTATCCTTCGATTGTTTATTGATTCACTCGAGCGGGCACCAGTAACATCTCCATTGTGAGACTTGTTACTGTTTTTGGCATATCGAATACATCATGGGTAGCTTGCCAGGCTCTGCCGTGTGGGCGAGATACTCTCGGTAGCTTGCCAGGCTCTCCGAGAGGGGCAGAAGAATCGAACCAGGGTCAGTCGCGTGCAAGGCAAATGCTCTACCCGCTGTGCGATATATTGCTCTGGCTCACTGTATATATAAATATATAATATATATTATATATAATTTATATATAGATATAGAAATCCTAGAGTAGGATGTGGTTCTCTCAGTAGTACCATTACTCTGCTCACCACAGTAAGTCAAACATGATATGATTCCCTAGAAAGATCTTCACGGGACTTCAGAAGAATAAACTTGTATGTTCTTTTCTTTCTTTTTTTCCCTCTCCTTCACACATAAATGGTATTTGTGTTCTCTTCTGCTGAGTCCAATTCTTAGGCTCTAAATTTCTTTTTTGAATATCAAGCACTTTGTGTGAGTTAGTAAGGGTACAAAAAATTGTTCAGGCTGTGTATTCTGCATCAGCGTAGGTAAATTGCTGCTCTGGGGGCAGTTTTTATTCCTGGACATGTTTTTAACATATCCTGGGGCGTGTGCTCTGCCTGCTGGCAGCTGGGTGTGAGCCCCGTTACAGCTTGTTTCCTCGAGCGTCTCCGACTATCTCCCTAACCTTCCCCAAATTTAATTTATACCCGTATCTTACCTAAGAGGTTTATTTCAAAGAATTACCTCTTCCTTCCTCTCTTTCTCTCTCTCTTTACTCCTTTTACTTAATATAGAATAAGAGAAACTTAAAGTGAACCAATATGCACTTGACTAGAGTCCAGAGGTTTGGAATTTCTTTTAAAGATGTATGCGATAAATACCTTTTTTCAAATGTTTGAAACTTTATTTAAACCCCGTGATTTGCAAGGTTGTTCATAACAGTTGTTTTAGGTATGCAATGTTCCGACACCAATCCCACTGTTGGTGGGACCTTCCCTCCATTAATGTTTTCCACCCAACCCCCAAGCCTGCACCCGTAGCAGGCATAAAGCAATTTAATTTGTATTGCTTGTTGCAGCCGATATCTCACAATGGTATCACCGAAATCATTGTCTGAGGATTTACTGGGCTGTTAGGTGCAAGTTGAGCCTCTTTGTCGCTGTTTTGTTCATTGAGGTTAGTGGGCTTCTCTGCAACGTTCCCATCTAACTTGCTGTGCTCCAGCTGGGCTGTCAGGTCTGTGAAATGTGGAGGTGTTGACCAGGAGCAGTGGAACAGGATGATCAGCAGCTTGGGGTCTCTTCGAGATCGGTTGTGGAGCTGGGCCTTTTGTACATGGGAGGAAGTCAGGAGTCGGGACACTGAATCTCTGGCAGGGTGGGCACTCCCGAGCCCAGAGGTGCTTCTACTTTAAGCAAACACTGCTCCCGCTGTCAAGTCACAGAGAACGGGCTCCAGCCAGTCAGGTTCCTTTTCATCGCCTCTCACAAGGTCTGCTTCTCTGCTTGGAGCAGACCGAAGTCTCTTTCTCTTTGACTACTTCCTTTCTTCTGTCACCAACTGCAGGAAGCTGTCTCGACTCTGAGAGTGTTTGGTCCTCAATATGAACAATTTCGCCAGCATAAATCTTGCCCTTTCCTTGGTTATTTATGACATACCAACAGCATGCTGGGTAACACAGTAGATCTGGGTTTGCCATGGGAACGCGTGTGGGGCATTCCCTTTGAACAGCGCCCATTCCCTTTATGTCTGTGGTATCTCCCGTCTTGTAGATCGGCATGTTTGTTGCATTCTGGTCTATAAGAAGGAGCAGCTCCATGTTTTCAGAAAGGTCTAGAGAACATAGAGCGAGTGTCACTCCTCTTGCCCCTTGTATTGGTCATTTTGGTGATTTACTGGAAGATGGTGGTTCTGACTGAAAGACTGTAAAAAAAAAATCCAGTTATAACAAATGAACTTGGTCTTGTCAAAATGGATTACCTGGCTTATTGGGTAAAACATGGTGGGAAAATTTAATTTTGCCACCTTAGTTCTGTTGCATATAAAACTGCAATAATGATGCCATATTTGTGAACCAGTTATCTTTTCTCATTAAATGTTTTGAAGATAAATGTCTTAAGTAAAACAGCAAAGAAACAAAACTCCATAAATTGATTGAATTTGCCTTTTACTTGATTCTTTCTGAATCCCAAATCACAAAGAATTCTTCTTGGTCTTATTCTTTGTTCAGTAATGGGCACAGCTGTACTCCGTCTCTTTACCTAAAATTCAGAATAACTTGATGTCTGTAATGAAACGTTTATCCTTTTTATTGCATAAGACTGTATCCTGAACCTTATCAGATCACTTTTTATTAAACAAACTGAAAGCAGCTGCATTTTCTTGGCTGCCAAGAAGAAAAAATTTCAGAGTTGGATAAAATATTTGTTTAGAGAACTATTTTGTTTTGTTTCTACCTCTGTGAATCAGGTCACAGGTTTTCACCCACAGCAGCTCTGTTCTGAGGCTGTGAGGACGTGGCGGGGCTCCCTCCTCCCCTCTCTGTCTCCTGGTGTCTTGCAGTGAAATGGCGAATCCGAACTCCTTAAGCCTGTCATGGTTGGTGTGTGTTGAGAGTGAAGAGCAGCCTTAATAATCCCTGAGAAGTTTTGATGTGACAAGATGAAAATAGTAATTGTATTTTTTCAAATTCAGCAAGGCTTTTGAAATAGGACAGTCACCCTGCCAAAAATCTGCAGTGGCAGCAAAAACGGTTTTGAGGATGCTCTTTTCAAAAAGCTGAAAAGATTTGAAAGCCGCAAGTAAAGCAAGTCTTTCCTCCTCCCGCCTCTTCCCCTCTGCCACACACACACTTGTTTGAAATACGTAGTGCATGGAGACAGCACAACTACCCATGGGCTGATGAGAGGAAGCACAGCCCTGGCAGGTACACCCGTATCCTGTATATCCGTATACCAGTATCCCAGCGGGATACTGGTCAGCTGTGGAGAAAGACGGAATCTTGCCATTTGCAACCACATGGATGGAAGTGAAATAAACCAGTGGGAAAAAAGACAAATCCTGGATAATTTTACTTGTGATGTAAAGACAAAACAAAGAGATGAACAAATAATCAAAATAAGTTTTGGCACAGTAAGACCAGTCAGTGGTAACTGAAAGGGACGGGTGCGTTGGGAGGGGTGGGACCTTAAACTGAGACCCAGGAGACAGCATGTGTTGATTTTAAGTCCGCATGCACACGTGAGACTTCATGTTGTCATGCAGTGCTATTTCAGTTAGCACCAAAACTAAACAGTCTGCTGACATATAAAATCTCTCTCCCAATCTCTCTCTCTCTTTCTCTCCTCTCTCTCTCTCTCTCTCTCTCTCTCTCTCTCTCTCTCTCTCTGTAGTGCAAAAGTTAATTTACTTATGAGAAGGAGGATGAGAAATAGAATTGGTTGTTGGGATATTTTAGAAGTGCCTTATTTCCAAAGAAGGCAGATATGTCTACTTTTTTAAAAGTTTTATTTCATTTATTCACATTTTTTGAATCCTGGGCATGCAAGCCAGGGCTTTATCCATGTGGGCATGTGCTCTGTCACTGATCTCCACCCCTGGCCCCAAGAAATTTGACTTAAAAAAGATTTGCCAGAGGGGTACTTGGCCCCAAACAACACACACACACAAACACACACACACACACACACACACACACACACACACACCCCTGAGTTTCTTATCATCTGATGATTTCAAATTAAAATACAA